AGTAACATCATTTGTAGCCTTGTAGATTATAATATCAAAATAAAAGTAAGCATTAAATGTCTAGTACAACAACAAAAGCATAAACATAAATTGTCTAGTACATGAAGTTTCAACTATTCAATAGAAGGAATGATATGATTAGTTTATTCAGTGGTTTGTCTTTGAACTTCTATATCATCTTCAATAAATATTATAGCTTCTAATTCAGGCTCATCAAGTGAAAGATTAGCAATTTCTAATATTCTCATGTCATCAAGAGACTCAAATCCATCTCAAAAATGAGAGAACCTCACTTGCAGACGCGGAAGTAAATACAACGGGTTTTTTTTCATTTTTTTTTTCAACAGACATGCGTATCGGATACACGTGTCCTTTTGAAATTAAATAGTATTTTTATTGGATACGACAAAGCCGTATCCGACACGTATCGGTGCCGTATTGGACGCGTATCGGCATACCGGTGTATCGGATACAACACGCCTTCATAAATAGATGTATCGGTGCAACATAGCTAAGAAACCATCTAAAGCACCAATCTAAGAAAGTTGCTTTTCAGCTTGCATATAGCAAGTGTTTAACTTTTCCTCGTGGAAATTAAACCAAATGCCACAAAATTATTTTTGATGTTCAACTAAGCAAAAGCAGGACATAAAAAGGATTAGTGCATTATGAAATTAACTCTTAGACTCTTTAATTTTTTATGGATTAATATATGACTAATTATATTTCCTTATTAGACTAATAACTACACAGTAAAAAATTAGCTGATAAATACTGCTATTTCAACATCCTATTCATTGATAAATACCAAATGAACTATTTAATTAAATTTAATAATCAATTAATTTATGATAAATTAGAATACCTTAATAACATAACCATTCATCAAATTAAAAAATCAGTCTAAGTATTAACTAATGCTAACTAACATGACATATTTTAGCCCAATTAGTCTATTTAATTATTTTAATAAATATTAAAATGTTGTTCAATACAAAACTAATCAGCCTCATGAATCTTCAAAAGATCCTTTAGTTAGTCTAATTTAATAACTACATCTTAAATAAACCATTATTAGGAAGTCAATCAGGGCATTTTTGTAATAAAAATAGAGAACCTGACATAAAAAAACACTTTATTTAAATGTTAGCCCAATCCATCATTCTAAAAAGTTAATTTCAGCTTTTTACTCGCAGCTGATATGCCCCTTTACCACACCTAAAATTGCTTATGTTCTGAAAAGCATATCCAGCAACAGAAAACATTACCAAATGGAACCTAAATCTAAGTTTCTACCTCAAGTTAGTAAAAATTCAAAAATACAGCGTGATGATGTTACTATAGAATTACTCAAAAAAATACTCCATTTTAGTTCTTATGAATCATCAAAGATCAAGAGACAACCAAGCAATATATCATCGCAGAAAAAGTCGAGCTACATTTCGCCCATCAAAGGTTATAAGTTTCTATTGTAATTACCAAATCAGGCACATGGGATCCTATCGAAACAAGTAAACTAGCTGCAGCTCTTTGCCACTCAGCATTCAGCTCCTGGACAAGATAAAAGATAACTCAGTTAAAAAGCATGATATCAACTGCATAAATATTACCGGAAGAATAAAGAGTTGCTTATTCCTAACCAATGGCAACCATCCTTAAGCACTCAAAGATGACAAAAATAACGGAGCAAATAATCAGATTATCATACTTTTGGTGAAATATGTAAGATAAATGAAGTGCAACTAAATCATGACAAGTAGAGAATAATTTCTAAATGTGCAGCCATCAGCATTAAAGTTTCACAGTCGAGAGTACAAACCATAACAGAATTGATGTGAAAAATTCAACCTCATAAGGAAAGCTTTTCAAAAAAAAATTTCAAACAGAAACCCAGATCTAACTTGCTGGTAAGTCTTATTTCAATTGGTCACGATGCACATTCCATCAAAACTCTTTGTAAGGGTCCTAAGGAATAACTACGAGCATGATACATTTTTACTTCATGTTAACTCATCCCTAGCTTTTCTAATTCCTTTAGACATTTATGCAAATCCACATTGGACAAACAACTATAGACGAGTTATTAAAAAAAAATTGAATATCAAGAAGAAATAGGAAATAGTAAATTATTGTTTAGTCATCTTACTTAAAACGGATTTAAATATTTATCAACCTCAATTATTAAAATTTAAATACATACAATTAAAGAGAAAACAAATAGCAATATAAACTGCGTATGCATTTTAAGGATATAGCCACAACTCAAAAGAAACACACAGGTTATCGATATTCAATAATAGTAAACTAATTGATGCAAGCAAGAAATTAGAAAAAAATCTAATTTTTGCTTGCAAAAAGATCACACTTCCTAGGATAAAAGAAAAATACATGAAATGCCCCAAAATAGACAAAATATGACATTTAAAACAAAAACGACTTCACTTTTATAATATAAAATGACTTACAAACTTTGACGCTTACAAACAACACAAACAAACTTATATAATAAAAACCTAAACTTGCCTTTCAATTTCTTTGAGAAGAAGGATACAAGTGGCGTAGGACTTGCGGATAGAAAAAGTAGATTAGAAGCCGAGACGAAATGGAGGAGAAGCTCACAAGCTTTCCTAGAAGAAGAGGAAGAGGTGGAACAAGCTCTCAAGCTTTTCCACGACGAAACCCATAGGTTTAGGCTCCCAAAAATCACATTATATCACTCTCTTTTGCATTACAAAACATCTCCTATATATAGGAGAAAAGGGCAGCCAAACAGCCACCATAACATTTCATTTAAACCAATTTAAACAGGGGATATGAAGGCCAAGGGGCTGTCCAAAAACAGCACCCAAAGAGCCACAAAATAGGCTATAATTTATTCCAAAACAACTCCCAAAAACCAGGGAAAAAGCAGCCACGGAACAACAGCCTGGGGAAGTGGAACAGCACCAAAATGGCAGCACAAGAATCGGGTAAAACAGCCAGGGAAGCAACCAAAAAGAAAGCACAGGAACCGGGTAAAACAGCCAGGAAATCAGCCCAAAAAGGCAGCACTGAAACCGGGTAGAGGCAGCCACGGGAAAACAGCCAAGGAAGAAACCAAGGAGGCGCAAAGAAAGGGAAAGGAAAAGGCAGCCAAGGGGGGAAGAACCAAGGGCCAATAGAGGAGAAAATCAAAGAGCCAAAGACAAAGGGAAAATGAACCAAATAATGATAATTTATGAGCTGAAATAAGTAGAAGAGGCTCATTAATGAGTTGACTTTAGAATAACTTACAAAAATTTCAACTCAACTTGTTTTGACCCCCCCCCCTGCCTACATCACTAATGAATAATGACTATCTATCGAGTGCACTGTGAAGAATGGAATCATCAATAACTGAATTTGAACAAAATAAATAAACATTTTTATAGTCAACATTCATGTATGTAAGATTTTAATATAATTCGTATAAGTGCAGTTTGGGTTTGATTAGCTAAAAATTGGACTTTTTAAGCCAAATTATGATGCAATGACATTTCTCCTCAAAGAAGTATACAGTGCCCAACATGTATTGGACACTATATGCATCTTACACGCCTCTAAAATGTTTCAAACATGCCAAACGCGTGTCCGATTAAAAAAATATAAAAAAAAATTGGACAAATGTATTTAAATATTTTTTGGAAAAAAAATTTGAATTTCAACTTTTTATTTATTAAACAAATAAAAACTATTTTTTTATTTCTTCTCCACAGCCCCAAATCAATAGTCCACATAATACAACATTCCTCGATTATTCTCATTTTCATTTATTTCTAGTAGGTCACAACTATAGTTTCACAATAACGCCAAACGCCACCTCAACATCAACTTTTGACACCACCTCAGCATCAACATCTGACGTCATCACAACATTAATATTTCAAAATCATCTCAACATCAAAGTCTGACTACTTGGCATTGACTCTCGACAACAATGATTTCTGCACCCACAATCACCCCCCATGCCATCTCGACATTGCATCTTTGTCTGGCGTCATCTCGACATAAATGACAGATGCCCATTGCACAATATTGATGCCCAACTTTCGATAGCATTACAGTCTCTCCTCTCTATGTCTTACACATGACATCGATAGTGGACTCTCGACATCCTAATATCAATCATTTTAAGCATAAATCATAGTTAAATGACTTATTATTTCTCAATTATTCTTAATATTTTACTTATTCAATTTCTATATCATTTTTATAATAATTATGATATCGTGTAGGTGTCCTATATTTCAATAATTGATATGTCTCATGTCTGTGTCATAGCATGTCGTATTTGTGTCGTCATGTCCATATATGTGCATCATAGATGCTAGGTAATGTGTCTTGGTTTTCAAAATCATATCAAGATGTAAAATATTTTGATGCAGGACTACTTAGGTGACATGTTTATGGCTTCATTTTAAACATTGCACAATTCTTTGATTCGAATAATTTTGGCTTAAAATTATTAGCAGTTCTCAACGTCAATTAAACAAATAAAGATGTGACTTGCGTAGGCTAATTAACATGCTCCAAGCTTTGACATTTTCAAGATAAGTCAGGGCTCTTAGGCTTACACATGACCATTCTCATAGAAAGGGGTATAAAGGGAAATAAAATAAATACTCATAAGCAAATAATAAAATGCATGAAAACAAAATACATCGACTCAAAAATATAACGACTCGATCGTAGCCGTAGATCGGCGGCCACGTGGCTGGTAAACTCTCCATGATGATCTGATGTCCCCATCATATTTAGTACGCAATATATATATATATATATATATATATTAGAGATTGAATTGATGATTAAATTTGAAACTTAGGCTTAAGAGCTAAGGGTGCCAATTTGCCCTTTAGGCTTATTAAACTAGCAAAGGCATATGTTGATCATTAAGCTTACTAAACCATCAAATGTGTATGTCAATTGGATGGTTGAATCTTGCTGAATTACCAAGGCAACTTAGACCTTTAGTTTCAGAGCTAAGACAGTTTGCCAAGTCATCCTTTGAGTTTGTTGGACAGGGATTCGATGTTCAATTTGTCTTTTATATATATTTTGTTTAAGATTTATTTGTTGATTATGCAAGTAGAGCTTATTGAATCAAAGAAATAGCTCGAACCTTAGATTTGTGAGCTGAGAGGAATTGTTGCTATCATGAGCAATTCTATTTGATTATAAACAAGGGTTTCCAATTGGCTTATGAGTTTTTTACCATGTAGCTAGCCTAAAATACTTTAGAAAGTAGCATAAAGTTGCCCCTAGTCTAGTAGATGGATTAACATGACTTTAAATTTTTTAAATTTAATTTTGTGATGTGTCCACCGGATGAACATTAATTACTTAGTTCCACATCTCGTAGATGGATTTAGTATTTCAATCCTTAATCTATATAAATAGGACTTCCTACTCATAAACATTATTAATAACCTCATTATGTTATTGGTACAGAGTTTTTTCTATTTTATGCCCAATAAACTAATTGTTCAAGTGCTCAATCATATGCCAAGGTCAATAAAAGTTATAAGAAGAGTGTTCCCTAGCTGAGTACTTGTAATTAATTACCTAAGCACAACATTATTTTCCATAATTGATGCTTATTGGATGAAACCAATTTGATTATTTAATATTAATAAGATTCTTCAAGGCCTTTATTCCATTTCCCCCTCTAGTAGCTTCATTACATGACTCACAAGTTTAATGTCATTATTGCCGAAGCAAACAACAGCCCCTTATCTTTAATTACTGATGAGTTAAAATTATTTTTCTAAAATCATTAGACTTCGATTTTAGTCATTGGATTTCACCTAAAATATTTACAACAACATAACTCAAATAAATCTCATAGCTATAAAAACATTAATAGGCAAGACAAAGTAGATTGATTAGTTACCTCAAGTAAACACTATGAAAAGGTAACTTTTAAGGGATAAATGATTTCAACACTGTATTAATATGAGATGGAACTACGCTCCACAGAGAAATAAGCCAGTTTGACATGCTAGCTTCAGATTGTCAAAAGAAATCGGTTTCTATTACGCTAAAGAAGCATTATAAACTTAAATTCGACAAGATGGGAAATAAGCATAAACAGTACCTTTGATGTAATTATCTCAGTCGTTGCAATCTTTGCGAGCTTTGTCATTAGAGCGGGATCCGCGTCTCTCTTATCCATGGCACGCGCCGCACAAGCCATCACTGTAAACACACCGGCCATGTTTGCAAACCGCTGCAACAGCATGCCATGCAAGATTAAGATAGAAACCGAGCAAAGCAGGGCGAAACAAAAGATTAAAAACCATAACAATTACCCGGCGTGCACCTCTGAATACAGCGCAGCAGCAGTCGAGGACGGTAAGAGGATTCCTGCGCGGTCCATTTCACAGGATCAGACGACGAACATTGAAAAAGCAATTGATATAGGTATTTCATGAAGAGTGCGGAGCATTACAATGGTGCGATTTCCTTGAGAGCGGCGACTGAGGCATCGCGAACAATCGATGATTCGTCGGCGAGCGACGAGACGAGCACAAGCACGGCCTCTGAACACGAGAGATGTAAGAGAAGACACTCGCGTAATGAAAACAAGAGAGAAGAAGCAGGACTCAACCAGGGAAGGGAATGGAAGAAATACCTGGAGCGGGAACAGGAAAAGAGGCGGTGGCCATGGCAGGCGAGAAGTTTCACGATGGCAGATGAGGGAGTTATTGATGGAATGGAATGGGAATCGGAAAGGGAGGGGAGCCGGACTGGAGTGAGCGGTGACAGCTCATCAAGGAGGGAAGAGGGGTGACAGACGAGTAGCCAGCTCCCTAATTTTTAATTACAAGCAAGTTTGTGAAGGAAGGTTCACGATTCAATCAGGTCATTTTAAAGAATTTGTTATTCACAAAAAAAAAATTAAAAATAAAAATATCATCAATTTATAGTAATATCAAAATAAAACTTTCAAGTAATATTATCATGTAAAAATCTGTATAAATAAAAAATAAACAACGCATTTAACACCCCTTGCATGTGTTTGAGAAATATTTGCATGTATGTGAATGTGTGAATTTATTCTAAAGCAAGGGCTTGTGGTGTACATGATTTGAAAATCAGAAAATTTTCACTTGGGGCACCATGGCGAGAGGGCAGGCGGCATTGCGACATCACGCTTTCCATCTTTCGGTTGAAATTGTAAGGACGTAACATAAGTTGGTTTGTCCCACATCCGTGGTTTACGTCTGCAGCTATCTCAGTTCATATATATATAACTTGTATCTTCTCTAAAACATTAAGTAATAATACAATACTCCTTTTAGATTCAGCTTGTTACTTTCTACTTCCCTTCTTGTGTCTTTTCCTACATGGTATCAGCGCGCCAGGATGGCAGACCAAGAAGCATCTTCCTCTCTCCCTCCCACCTCCACCGTAACTCCCACGGCTACCACTGAACTTGTTCTACCCCCCACTCTCAAATTCATCATCTCCAACATCAAGAACTTGATGTCCTACTCCCTCACTTCGGACAACTATGCTCTCTGGAGATCACAAATCTTTCAACACCTTTCAGCAAATGGTTATGCCAATCACCTCACCGGTACTACCCTCCCGCCACCGGATCACACCACCGCAGAATATGCCCAATGGCGACTCATCGACAGTAATCTAATCTCTGCCTTATTCTCCACCATTTCTACCATCATCCTCCCCTATGTCATTACCTCCTCCACCGCGCACGAGGTCTGGACCGTTCTTGAACGGAGACTTCAATCTTCTAGCCGTTCTCGCATCATTCAGCTCAAGAACGAGCTACATCACGTTCAAATGAACACTCTCACGATGCAGCAATACTTGTCCCAAATCAAGAACATAGTGGACACCATTGCCGCATCCGGCTCCACTATTGACCCCCGAGGATATCGTTCTTCACACTCTCAACGGTCTACCAGCCAGCTACAATTCAATCAAGACATACATTCGCTCCTCCTCCCAACCGGCAGATCTGGATGCCCTCTACTCCCTCCTCTGCAGCGAAGAAATACATGTCAATCAAGATCTCAAGAAATATCAGCCCTCCTCCACCGCTGCCTACTACACGACCAACTCCGGCCAAAATCGCAACAAGTTCGCCAAACGGAATCAGAAACCTCGCAACAACTCGGGTAAACCTTTCCTCTATCCGGATCAAACAACTCTGCCTCCGTCTAACTCCGGCACCTGCCCCACATGTCAAATATGTGGCAAGCTCGGCCACAGTGCCATTCACTGTTGGCACCGCTGCAACCTCAACTACACACCCTCCAACAACACCAATTCAGGTTCTCGGACACTTCTTGCTCAAAATGTACCGGACAACACCCAAACATGGGTCGTCGACTCCGGTGCTACTGCACATATGACCGCAGACAACACAACAATACAGCATCCAACCGTGTACCATTGTCAAGATTCTGTCTCAACAACAAATGGATCCACCGTTCCCATACATAACTTCGGCCAAGGTTTGCTACCGTTACCTAATACGCCGCGTAAGCTTCGTCTCTGTCACCTTCTCCATGTTCCTGCATTAACTCATAACCTGCTTTCCATATCTAAACTCACCAAAGAAAATGCAGTTACTATTACCTTCGATTCTAATGGTTTCGATATTAAGGATGTACAGACTCAGCAGCCCCTTCTTCGTGGTCTTCTTCATAACGGCATTTACCAGCTTCGGATCACTCCAGATGACAAACCGAAGGCTCTACAAGTCGGGACAATCTCCTCCACCGTCTGGCACGCTCGCCTTGGACACCCGAACAATAAAATTTTCAATAAACTTGTTTCTTGCATTTCCAATTTACACAATATACCTCTTAACTTTCATTGTCAATCTTGTAACATGGCTAAAAGCCACAAGCAAGTGTTCAATAACCGGAAATCCGTCACCTCTCAACCGTTCGAACAAATTCACTCGGACGTTGGGGGTCCTGCACCAGTCTCTTGTTCTAATAATTTTCGTTATTACGTAGTTTTCATAGATGATTTTACTCGCTTTTGTTGGCTCTACTTTATGCGTACTAAGAATGAAACGTTCTCACATTTTAAAAACTTTCTGAGCATGATACAAAATCAATTCAATGTCAAACCCAAACACTTCCGGTCGGATGCCGGGGGTGAATTCATAAGTAAAGAATTTTAGACACATCTCCAAGCTCAGGGAATATCTCACCAACTCAGCTGTCCTCATACACCTGAACAGAACGGCTTAGCTGAGCGAAAGCATCATCATCTAATAGACATTACTCGCACCCTTCTACTCGCCTCGGGTCTACCTGACAGCTTCTGGACCGACGCCGTCTCCACTGCCAACTACGTAATAAACAGGCTACCATCCAAATCAATAGCCCTTCAGACCCCATACCACAAGCTCTACAACACCCCACCGGTCTATGACAACCTTCGTACTTTCGGGTGCCTCTGCTACCCATGGTTACAACCCTATGTCACGACCAAGTTTTCGCCTCGCTCCTAACCCTGCGTGTTCTTGGGCTACTCTCCTCACCACAAGGGCTACAAGTGCTACAATCTCAGCTCAAACAAAACTCAGATATCACGACATGTTATTTTTTACGATACAATTTTTCCTCTCCTGAACAGGACAACGCCTCATACAACTGCCACTGATCTTCAAAAGAAATACATTCCACCGCTGCTTCTCGTACCCACCACATCTAGCCAGAATTCTCATCCTCACGACTTTCAACACCACAATAATAATACTTCGTCTACAAGACAACCAGAAATTTCCTCCCAGCAGTTACCACAGCTACCTCCCGAACAACCGCTACTTTCGGCACCTCAACCGAATGCTCACCCAATGCAGACTAGATCCAAATCAGGTATATCTAAACCGAAACAAATTATTTCACTTCTTGGTGTTGCAGATCCTCATGTCACCCCCACCACATACAAACAAGCCTCCAAATACTCCCAATGGAAAGACGCGATGGACACCGAATATCAAGCTCTCCTCCGACAGCACACTTGGACTCTTGTACCAGCACCTCCTAACAAACAAATAATCGGTTGCAAGTGGACGTACAAAACCAAAACACTACCATCCGGGCAAGTAGACCGCTACAAAGCTCGCCTTGTAGCTCTCGGCTATGCACAAAACTTTGGCGAACATTACAATGAAACTTTTAGCCCTGTGGCTAAAATGGTCACTATACGCATGCTCTTAATACTCGCCGTCAATCGCAACTGGCCAATGCTTCAACTTGATGTCTCCAATGCGTTCCTACACGGAGAACTATCGGAGGACATTTACATGTGACAGCCACCTGGTTTTGAAGATCCTCACCACCCCAACGCAGTTTGTAAACTCAACAAATCTTTATACGGTCTCAAGCAAGCCCCAGACAATGGTTTCAAAAATTCACCAACTTTCTCCAGACTCGCGGCTTCGGGTTTAGTCGTTCTGATCCTTCCCTTTTAATTTACAATAAATCAAATATTCACATCTTCCTGCTCATTTATGTAGATGATATTCTTATAACAGGTAATGATCCTTCCCAAATCCAGCAGCTTCTCCGCGAACTTCACACCCAATTCGCCTTAAAACAACTTGGACAAATCTCGCTCTTTTTAGGAATTCAAGTGAACCGAACCACCGCAGGCTTCTTCCTCAACCAAATTCATTATGCCCAGAAACTCATAGAAAACGCCGGGCTCTCCAACTGCAAGGCCGCTCCAACACCTATTACTCCAACGTCCAAGTCTCCGCTTCTCAACAGTCCACCATTTCACGATGCGTATCTCTACCGAAGACTTGCCGGCTCCCTCCTTCTCACCATAACACGGCCGACATCGCCTTCACAACAAACCAAGCCTGCCAACACATGCAACATCCTACCGATCACGACTTCCAAAATCTCAAACGGATCCTACGCTATGTGAAAGGCACTACCGCTTATGGACATCCGATCAAGCCCGGCGATACTACTCTTCGATCCTTCACTGACGCAGACTGGGCTTCCGATCACACTGATCGTAAATCGATCTCTGGCTTCTGCACTTTTATGGGACCAAATCTTCTCACCTGGTCGGTCAAGAAACAAGTCACGGTTGCCAAATCCTCTACGGAGGCGAAATACCGTGCCCTCTCGACCGCTACATCGGACGTTCTTTGGCTCCGACGACTCGCAGCCGAACTCCTCCTTCAGCAAAATGAACCGACCACCCTTCATTGTGATAACATATCCGCCATTGCTATCGCCAAGAATCCGGTCTTTCACACCCGGACCAAGCATATTGAGATCGACTTCCAATTCATCCGTCAACATCTTCTCACCGGCAACATTCGCATACAACACATCGCCTCTCAAGAACAAATCGCAGACATTCTCACCAAACCATTCTCCATTTCTCGCTTTGATTATCTTCTCTCCAAATTGACCATTCGACTAAAGAATGATCATGATCAATTTGAGGGGGAATGTAAGGACGTAACATAAGTTGGTTTGTCCCACATCCGTGGTTTACGTCTGCAGCTATCTCAGTTCCTATATATATAACTTGTATCTTCTCTAAGACATTAAGTAATAATACAATACTCCTTTTAGATTCAGCTTGTTACTTTCTACTTCCCTTCTTGTGTCTTTTCCTACATAAATAATTCAATGTCACGGCATTGGGGTGCGGCACTGCAAAGCAGTGTCTTCCTATGGGGAGCATTGCGGCAAGTAGGATTGGCGTAATGGCGTAAGGCTCAATTTTTATAAAAAAATATACGTTTTCACCATATGAAGTATTTTATCAGTCATTTCTTATTTTTAGGCAATCGAGAAGATAGAGAGAGAGAGGG